TGGCATCTTTTTAAACAAATGGGACCAGGCTAGGCGTTTGGGTTATGGGTTAGATTCACTTCATTCATTTACTTGCTAGCAGCCTTCAAATCAAGTGCCTAATCTAAAGTTTTACTCTACAGTAAAGGTTGAGACACTGACACCTCCAGAGCACAATTTATCCCATCTGTCTGAAACAGCTCTCTTAAAATGGGTCAGATCTGTTTTCATTCCAAATGGGTAGCTAAACCTATATATATGCATACATATCTATGTATACATGCATGCATATACATATGTATACATAAACACCTCGTAGCATGTCTCTACATCCTTTGCAAGCAGGCCTAAGTACACCCAGCCATTGCTTGGCACTGACCTGAATTAAATCTGCTCTGGACATGATAGTGCACAGCTGTATCACTGTGGGGCTAAGCCTGAACTAATACAGACGCCTTTTCTTAGGGCTTTTTATTAAGGCTTAGCGCCACATCAGTGGCAGAAAGCCAGATATAGAGCTGGTGAACACCAATAGTCTCAGACTGTGGGCCAAACAAGCTTATATTTCCAAGCAGAAAATTACGAAGACATACACTTAATTGCTTTATAATAAGACAGTGGATAAATAGGCTTGTGAGAGTAGTACCCCAGATGCCTGATTCCACCCTCTTTGCATCAAGCAGCTGATTAATATAACATAATAAATTAATATAATTGATTTATCATGGCCTGGTCAAGGGCTTTTTGAATCATGGTATCATTTGAGTATTCAAAATTAATGTATGCTTTCTTGTCACACTGTACAATACAAGGTCAATTTTCTGTACCACTAAATGAACCAACAGTAAGGATGATTTTATTTCATTTGTCATTTGTTAGGTATCACAAAGCTGATATCGTTGCACAGTATTCTTCACAACAGTAAGAAAATATGCTGCTTTTCTGCCAGAAATAATATGCACTTCTTGTCTATTTTAGCTCCATTCAGCATTTTGTTTTAAGAATGTATTTGGCTTTGAAATGCATTATAACGTATTAAAAACAAGAAAACATCTAGAAAACATCTAGAGATTTGGTCGAATGTTTGTACCAAAAAAGTAAGGGTAAAATTATATAAAATATTGTCAGAGGTGGAAATCTAGCTGTGAACTCAGCCTGATCAAACCTTCCCTCCCTGTGGACTCCACAGAGGAGGAGAACGGACACAGGCGAACGACTGGGGCCATCCAGGAAAAAGAACAGTGTCAATTGTTCTACTTCCTTCCCTCAATTCCCTGTAGGAATTCAGTGTAGATCCAGAATTGGCAAGGAAAATGCAAACTACTGCTGTTTAATGCTCAGAGTGCTCACTCCAGCTCAGCGTTAGGGACTTATAGAGCCCCGTTTACCATGAAGAAATGCCCTTCTCCAAAGGAAAACCAGACCCACCACTTCTCAAATGCTCTCTAACAAGTATTTTAGCAGCAAGACTACAAGCCTATAGACCTGAAGATATTTGTTTGCACAGGTGCTTCTGCAAAAAAAAAAAAAAAAAACCAAAAAATCAAAAAAAAAGTAAAAGAAGCCTTTAGATGCAGCCTATTAAAAACAACTGTAACAAACTGTTAAAACGCTTTTCCATAGGAAAATGGTACTTCAACACTTTTTTTTTTAAATAGGTATCATTTTGATGTCCCCTCACTTAGGAAAAAAAAAAAGAGATTTATTTTAACAAACGATCTGTTTAATTGTGACATACAAAGATAGGGTTGGGTTTTCTAAATGCTCAAAATCCAAGGAAAAAAGTGTTAAGTTACCATAATATCTCCCATTAGCTTCTCACTCCCAAATTGCATATTAAACTTCTGACTTTTCTTTTTCTCCCTCCTCCCCCTTTTTTTTCAGTTCAGGACTTCTTTTCCCCCTAAAAATCTCCAAGCCATTTTATGGACACATCATCTGTTTTCTGACCCATGCCCATGGTGAGATCCATATAATGGTCTCAGTCACTTCTCGAGGGACTGCCCATAGCTTACAACTAGCACAGGGTTATTTCTGCAGCTGCCAGTTCTCTAAAATTGCCCTGCAATCCAAAATATACTTTAAGGTCCAATATGCTCATCAGGTTCAACCTCAGTTCGCACCTGTATAACAGGGTTGCTTTCAACCTGGTTGTTAATGAGGGCTGAATTTGGATCTAGCGATTAAATGAGACTTCAATGCCAGTAGCACTGAGTCCCTATAGTTGTGCTACTTCTGCAGAACAGGGAATAGAAAAATAGGCAAAGCTTAAGTTTGTCGCTTACAGAGTCAGCTCTGCTCTAACCCCTATCCCCTGGCAAAGACAGAAAGATGGGGAAGAAAAAAAAAAAAAAAAAAAGACTTAAAAATACAAAACCAGAAGAATTGAGAGAGAACTCCCTTCTAAATTTTCACTACAATAGTTAATTTTTTTCAGCTATTATCCTGAAGTGCTGCTCTATCTTGTACTTGCAACATTACACAAAAAAGGTACTGTAGTTGATCTGCTTTGGAAAGAGCTTACTTTTCTGTACACGTTTTATTTCTATTAGTATCTTGTCCAGAAAGATAAAATCCACTTGGTGTGTTGGTAAAAATGCTTTGAACACATAAAGCGCGAGGTAAGTGCTACGAACACTTACCAGCATGCGGCAGGACCGTTTGTACAGGTAGACAGCTCTTGAAAGGAACTAAAAGCATGCAGCTGAGCGCTCCCTCTGCATGGGATGTAACTGCTTGAGCGCTGACTTAGGTAGCTCGGACACATTTGTTTCCTTATTGCACTTACTAGGGATAGGTGCTTGCTTTCAGCCACGTCTGAACATTACGACTCATGCGTTAACAAAATGGGAATGCTCCGGTTGGCAGCGCACTCGATCGCATCATGCACAACCACAGAAGGACGAGGGAACGGGAAAGCGGAACAAGCACCCTGGTAGCAACTCCATGAAACAACGTGTAATCTGATCACAAAACGTAGAGGCAAAGAATTGTACAAGCCGAATTTTCAGAGCAGTAGTCACCACAGTTCATCCTGCAAACTGGGTTCGCAACGGTCCCCGGCAGTGGATAAGGCCTGGGATAGCCTATCTGCAGGCTCCATTTAGCACGCTTGCGAGATACCCACTGCACGACTGCCTTGTGCGAGGTACAGCTGGTTCCACTGAACTGGTGAGGAACAACATTGGAACAGCAGAGTCAAAGCAGCACTAGGACAAGTGAACCCGGAAACACTGTGTTTGTTTCATGAACTTGCTATTTTACACTATGTATAGTGTAAAACAAAACTTTTAGCCAGTATGCATTTTCACCAGGCTAGTTGTACTTGAACTGTAATAGACACGCTGGGCTCAAATGGTTTTCAAGGTCAGATTAATCCTCTTACATGTGCTCTCATTGTCAAGCAGCACAAAGTTACACCTGACTTGCAAGATAAATCAAAATAAAAATCCCTTTGCATGCCATGCAATTCTATCTAGAATTAATATCAGTTACAGAGAAAATAAAAAAAGTCCTTCGTAAAGGCAGAAGAATGCCACTAAGGCTTTCTAACAAAGTCACCCCCATTGCCCTGCTGGCTGTGTTGCAGCATCACATAACAGCGCAGTCATGCATTCAAGAAACTTTCTCATCAAGACTCCAGCCCCAAGACAGCCTGAGTAACTCAGCTATTCACTGGACAGTTCCGGTCACAGAGAGGAAGACAAATTCTCCCTGTTAAGTTAACGATGCAGTTCTGAAAGTATCCCTGGGAGGGTAAGAGACGATCTGGGAAGCAGCCAGCGATCACCTTTGCAGGCCCTACCACATTCTCAGTCCTATCATCTAGGCCAAAAAGCAAAGAGAGCTGACTCAAAACTTGCCCCCGTGCCCCATCCTGGATGTGCCATTCATCCCTGTGCTGCCATTTCTTCCTGCACTGCAAAAATCAGACAGGTTCATGTGCAGCCAAGCCCAGGTTCATGGGCAGCCAAGCCCAGAAGGCTACAGCCAAAAGTACAGCTGTTGCTGGGCATATTAATTACCAACCTGGAAAAGGCTAGGCACGTTGTACGTCCACTGTGGGAAAGGAGGCTGCTGTGTGTCTGTCTTAACTAATAATTCAAACTGGGCAAGAGGGGTTAAATCTTCAAAATTTGGCACTTAAGTTGTACCCATAAGATCTGTGCAAACACCAGCAGCCTGCAGAAAGCCTGTTAACTCCTTCACATATAAACTCTACAATCATTTCAGAGTTGCAGGGTAGGATTTAGCGTAGGACCTTGTAGGTCCTTCTGTTCTGCAAGCACAGCTTGTCCCAGCAGACCAAAGCGTGGTTGCACACTTAAGGATTTGCACTTGTGTCAGAAAAGCAGCTGCAAAATAGAGCTGCAAGTCCTGCCAGCAGCAACTGCAGCTGCAGAGGAGGAAGGAGGGAATTGCCCTAGGTGAGCTGGCAGCATAGCCACCAGTCTTTGGGACTTGTCCCTTTCCCTAACCTAAATGGAGCCTTTTTATTATTCCTTCTTTGTCTATGATTTCCTAAAGGAAGGGACTGGAGGAGGGGCAGAAAAGGGTTTGGAAAGCACCAACAACTAAGACAGACCAGTGTTTTCTAAAAAGCCTTCATGAATTGACGCAACAAAAGCAATGACTTCTTTGGCTTTCTTATGATCTTTTTGGGGACTAGAGGTTTGGATTTCACACTAGGAGACGTTCACCCTGGGATGCAGGTTCCCAGTCGCCACTACTGCCAGTGATGGCTTTTTGGCTTTTCAGGAAGTGCTTTAGAGTAGCTCAGTTTCCTGATGCAAAGCAATGGGTCTGGTATTGGTATTTACTAAGGATGCCCACTAATTATAAACATGCCTTTTATTTACCTGATGGAGAGTGATGCCTTGTAGTACATATATATTTTACTCCAGGCACTTTTAAAAACATGGGATCTTGATGCAAGAGGTCATTTACGCGTGGTGGGGAAATCCTTCGCTGAAGGAGCCACTACAGCCTGGTGTGTCAGTCTCGAGCCACAGCGCTGCTCTGAAGCCACGATGGCCATTTCTGCTGGGAGTCGTGTATGCCTGGACTCTCACCTGGTGCAAACTTAGAGGCAGGAGAAAAAAAAAAATCCTACCACGCTCAAGCACAGGCTCAGGCAGACTCCAAAAAAATCTCAGTTTGCATAAGCAGAAGAAAGAGGATCTAGTGCAAGCACCTGCCCTGCTGCAGCTGCAGCACAGCAAAGAGAGGGCTGCTGTAGGCTGGTCGGTGGAGGTGTGATCTGAGCATGGGTCAAGGCTGGGAGATGCCGAAGGGGGTGGGCTAAGAGAAGGGCCAGAGCATCTGACGCAGACCTAATGCCCTTAATATGGCCTAATGATTCACTGTGAGCACTGCAATCCTGACTGGCAGGATGACCCCTAGTCCACTGAGTCTATCTCCGAGTCCAACGGCAAGAGTAGCAGGCACCTGAGGAGGGATTTCATCCCCCTAGCAGACATACACACCGTCCCCCGATGCTATGGGGTGAAGGGATTGCCACCATTACCAGCTACACATCCAGACTCGGCCTTTCTCTGTTTCTCAAAGGCAGTTTCAGATTGATAAACATCCTCAGAAAAGGGAGTGGACGGGGATTAACTGCAACCATTTGGCTTCAGGCTTTGAAATCTGTTCACACAGCTCCCAAGGAGCTGAACAAAAATTTCTCTCTCCCTTGCTAAGACCTCGTGCAAAGCCTTTCTGCCAGGAGCAATGGGGGAGGATGGAGGAAAGCAATGCTCAACCCTGCAAAACCTGGACTTCCTAATGAAGATCCTGACAGACTGAGACGCTGTCTCTGAGTGTTGTGAAGAGAATCTACGTAATGTTGCCCTAACAGCTCAGTACAAATGGCATCAATAACAGGAGGCTTTCAAGAAACAGATTACCCCCGTAAATACACAGGGAGTGCAGCTGCGTTTGTTTGTTCCACTTTGTTACATAAATCATCATTATTATTGTTTCTTACTTAGGATGTTAAAAGAGCAGGAGGATACTTGAAATAAAAGGCTGTGCATGCACAATACCCACACTAACAATTCCAGTGATCTACCCAGGCGCCTGCCACAGCACCCTTCCCTGTTAACTGAGCTGGACCCTCCCTTTACGGAGGAGGAGGGAAATCTATCACCAAATATACAGTATATTGTAATGGAATGATACCAGGAAACAGTAGTAATCAGAGTCTGAACGTGTGCTCCACATCATGTTAATCTATTGTTTAACTCGGCAGAAAAGACAGTGAGGAAATAAAAGCTCAATTCACCCAGCCTGAGATCAAATCTGTCATGGCAATATTGGCAGGTGAGACCCTGATTCTTTAAATAGTACATTGCCTTTGTTAAACAAAAGTCATTCTTTTATTTCATAATAGAGATTATAAATAAATGTAAAGTGTGCATGCAGTCAACTGCATATTATACAAGCAATATCTATGTTAATAATTGTTTTCTTTGGCAGGCCAGAATCCAGCTGGACATGCAATATTTACATATCAAAACCCTTGGTGTGTTCAAGTCATATTGGATGCAAGTGAAAATATATATGTATATATATTTACCGTATACACACACACACATATATATGTATAAAGGTATATATACACCGCTGCATATATACTGTATACATATATAAATATAGGTATATGCTAAAAGTGGATTTCATCTTTTTCTGATTCGGGTGATGCAGGCCTTGAAACACTAAAAATATCCTGACAGGGTATCTGGGAGGGTAACTGGGGTGATAAATGAGACTTGGGGGAAGAGATCTGGGGTACGTTCTTTTCAGACAATATTTTTAAAATTTCTGCCACCTGTTTCTCAAGGGCAGCCATCCTGCTGCTTAGCAGCTGGATATCTTCTTTGAGTTCGTGTTTGACTTCCTGGAGGGTGGTTTGTAAGGCCTGCTCAGGAATAGGGTAGAAAGGATGCCTAGCATCAGCCTGAATGGGGCTATGCTCCAGGGGGCTGCGAGTCTCACCAGCTTTATCCAAACGAAGGTCACTTTTTGTTATTCCACTGTCACAAGAATCTGTTTTCCTCAGTGGGTTTTTATTTACACCGTTCTCCGAGTCATTGCACTTGGGGTCCTCAGACAGCAAACCCATGGACTCAGCCTTTGTGACATTATTCCAGTCTTCCTTTTTCTCCTCATGGGTCCCCATGGTGTTCTTTAGTCGAAGCCACCCTTTACCATTCCCATTTTTCATCCGCATGGGACTGTTCACTCTGAGACACTTCTGGTCTCCGTTTGCATTTGGCTTGAGCTCCATGGCATCCCGGTTGTTCTGCTTCACAGCCTCACTGGTTTTCACGTAGGCTAGGGAAGTCTGGATCGGCGTGATCTGAGACACAGTGACCACGCTCGTGCCTGTGATGGAAGCCCCATTCTGCATGGTACGGCTTTCCACTTGAAGCTGGTTCCTCTCTGGGTCAATGTGGGTTGAGCCTTGATTACGCATCTCCTTTTGCTGCTTGAACTTCTGAAAGAGTTTCCGCACAGGATGGTCCACAGGGATGCTCAGCGTCACCTCGTTCTTCTGGCGCAGGCGTTCCTCTTCTTCCTTCTTGACATCACTGATTTTCCGGAAGATGATCTACAGGGGATAAATCCAAAACAGAGTCAGTACCCAAAGGACGTCGCATACAGGACTGTGGCTAAGGTCACTGGAAGATGAGGATACAGAATGGCCCTCATGGGGGAACAGCCACTTCTCCTTCCTTTCTATCACAGTTTCCTTGTAGCGAAGTCAAACGAAGTGGCTCAAAACATCATAACCTTAGATGTATGCCACTGCCTAGATGGTGTACATACAGGCACATACTTTCTTAAAAGTATAGATTAAAAGTGAGTTTCACCTTTATTTTTGATGCAGAAGATATAGCCCTGAAGAACTAAAAATATCCTGACAATGAGAGAAGGAAAGAAACTAAACAAAGAGAAAACAGAAAGCGAACAAGAACCCAAACACAGTGATACATATCTACCCATTACTCACATTCATACCTGCTCAACTACCATCTTTAGGGTAGATCAGAAAGAAACAGTAATTCAGTGGAGACTACACTACTGCAACTTTAACTCAATGTACACACCGTTCTGGAGATTTGAAAAATTCGAATGTGTGCACTCCTGTTGTAGCACTGCTTATTACTAGTTTGTAGCAGTGGCTGGAGGGTGCAATTAGGTTCCCTGTGTGCTGTGTAGCGTGGCTTCATATAGCAGCACAGGCATTTCCTGAAGAGTTTATACGTCTAATACGTGGGTGTACTGGGAGCACCACGGAAAAATACCGTAACAGGAATGTGTGATTATAAAAACTAGCAATATCCACCCTTTCATGATGCCACGTCACTCAAAAGAGGAAGGTATTTCGTGCTGCAGAGATTTTGCCCTGCAGCATCTCCTGGGCCTCTGCAGCAAAAGGAATCTAAGCCTTAAGCTGTGGCAGGTTCCACAGAGTTAAAACCTTTATGTTGATTTTATGCATGTTACTTGTAAGAAATCTCTCCTTTTTTTTTTTTTTTTCCACCTCTATTTAGGTTTGTGCAGTTTTCTTGAATGTGGGATTGGGGCAGGATGGGGAAACTCTGGATGATGATAGTAAGATGAAAAGGAGCATGTGGTTAGCTGCAAATACAGATCGTATAGGGATAGTGTTGGTAAGAAAAATAAATGAAAGCCCCTGGAACACACAGAAGAAAAGGCTGTGACAGTCAGATGTAGGTTTTGAAGTATCTGTTTGAGTATCTATATTTCAGTATCTATTTATTTTTCAAATAAAGGCTTTTCACGCCTGTCCATATTTGCAAAGAAGGAGTTGCTTTCAAGGCCCATACCTTCCAAAGACAGTGGAGGAGGGCCATAACAGCTACATCTAGTCTCCTGCATGAATCTAGAACAACCTGGACTTCAAAGCTTCATTAGAGGGCTTTCAGATGCAGTAAATATATTCTTATGTGTTCCCGATAGATGCAGTTGCTTGTAATAATTTGGAAAGTTAATATGTTTATTAGAAGCCCAGTTAAAAAAACAGAGAAACATGGAAGATGCTTTCATCTGACTCCTCTGACCTAGATGCAGCTACATATATATTCATTTGGAAGCTCCCCTTCATTAGTGCCTACCCTCATGTAGTAACTGTCTCTCTCTCAGGCAAGTCACAGGGGACAGCAAATAAATGTGACAGAAGTTGCCCTTGATTCAAATAGGGAAGTAATTACATTTAATTGAAGCCATACCCTAAATGAAGATTCAGAAGGTGGGTCGTGTAGCTTTGTTTGTGCGTTTTTTTCCCAGGAGGGAAGCGTGGCACCTTTGGCAGATCTCGCAACACTGAAAATGCCCAGCCGCTAAGCGCCGAGCAGAGAACACGTCTCCCAGAAAGACAGCAGGTCCCTCCCGTGGGCTTGCTGGCCAGCTGTGCACCTTCTGCGCCGTGCAGGGCGCGGGAGGACTCTGCTCCAGAGTGACAACACCACAGACCACAGCAGCACTTTCTGATTTGCTCTTTATTCCTCCTCACCAAACACTTACACCTCACTGAAAACTATCCTCAGCTCCTTTTTTTTCAAGCACAGAATACAATTAATCGTGGTCGCTGCTTGCTTTCTACAGAAGAAAAGCCATGACTTGGCTGATTTGACACGGACCATAGCACGTACCCAGCACTCCTGAAGTGGGCCTTACCCAAAGCTAGGAAATCAGCACGTTTTTCTATACCGGAAGCTTCATTCCAGAACCACTTAGCCAGATGCCACTCAGATTAGCTAAATCCAGCAGCAAGGGGGTCTGAAGTCCGAGTGTGCTGCACTACCGGCTCTCAGCATGCAGGCAACGCGAGGTCTGGGGAGCCTGAACGCATCCACACTGCAGGGACAGGCAACCACAGCGCGGGATGCTGTGACAAATGCCATCGGATTTGCAATGCAAACCAGCCTCGTCCAGGCAGGGACACAGGTGTCCGTATGCCAACTTTGATTGTTTTGCCTTTTGTTGAGGAAAGTCATCCCCAGAGTTAAACCTCTACCTCATAAGCTGCAAGACTTGAGCTCACGTCTCTGCTGTGTTCCAACTTATGTGACCAAAGGCTCTGTACTACATGTCCCTGCCTGCAGGATGGCACTCCCCAGCCTCCCAGGGACACCATGATGGTAAATACATTAGAGGGTGTGAAAATCCCAAGTGTCGGAGCACCAGCTGCAGATAAAATTATTGCCCAGCTTGCGTCACTCTGCAGGGAAGCAGGACTTCTGAGCTGCTGACTCCACAAATGGTGTTGGTAAGATTCACGTAGTACCAGCGGAGGACGTCCCCGCAGACCTCTCACTGAGGTCAGTGCTAGATTTCAGCCAGAGGGGCTTAGGTCTGATGCTCACTGCAGAGCTCTGGCCGAGACCAAGGACCCAATAACCTCGCGCAGCCATGGGCTTTCCGCCATCTCAGGCCCACGTGGTGGAGAAGGCACACTCCCCAAGACCTGCTATCGCCCATCCTCTGCCACTGTCCCCAGGGAGAGAAACTCCTGCCACCTCTTCCGAGCCCCCATCAGGAGTCTGGCAGAGTGTGGTTCTTTGATAAATCCTTCCCTCTTTTTCCGCCTGCTTCAAAAAGTGCTAAATCCTGCAATGATTACAGGGAGCTTCTTTAAAGAAGAAAGATTCCTGCATGCACAGAATTAGAGCAGAAAATGCATAGGGAACTAAGAAATTCAGGATTACTTGGGAATCCAGAACTCTGTTGATCTATCTTGGTGGAGTCATATTTCCTACAGAGACATATTTTCAAGGGGGCAAAGGCTGGCAGAAACATATCCCCTGCACCCACCCTCCCCTCAGCTTTCTCATGAAAAGTGGATGTGTCCATAGGCCTTTGCTGTTTACAGTTTGGCTCTGAAATGCATAACCAGACATGACCAGTGCTGAAATGCATAACCAGTGGCATGTACAGCACTTCTCAGGGAGTAAAGAACCACACTCCTGTCTCGTGGCAAGTGCTGAATCCAATAACATGATGAGGATTTGGTGTCAGAATTCATTTCCTTTATGGAAGGGATTGTGAAAGACTGTGCCGTGTGACACACAACCTGTCCCATGAGACCAGGTTGCTGTTTTTCTTTCTTTTAATGTATTTATTTTGGGAAGGAGGGGGAGTGGGGGGTGACGTGAATTATTGAGCTGGCAAAGGTTAAGTAAAGGTTAACTGATTGTCAGCCCAGGGAACTGAAGTATTTGGTTTATCTAGAAGGCAGGCACAGAAGAGAAGAGTAACGTGAGATTCCTCGCTTTGGTATTAACCCTGTTCATCTTTCCTTCCCCAGTGCACTGAGAGATAACTTGGTCCAACCATGAATCTAGCCCAGTGCTGTGCCACTCCCAAAGAGAGACCCTACCTAAGGCCACAAAGTTTAAGCAACTGCTACACTACATCCCTTTGAGGTGCCAACTCGTGCAACCAAACCCAAAGCTCATCCAGATATAAGCCACAGGAACGAGAGGTGGAGAAGCCAGTTCAAGGCTGAGACATGCAGTTTGCCCATTTCCTTCTCTTGCCAAATTATTCAGTAAAAAGTGATGACCTTTTCAGCCACTTTGAAATGCATCCCTTGCCTGTGGCCTTTTTTTGGATCAGTACTGTGAAAGTCATCAATCCATGACCTTGTTCTGTTTGCAAAGACCCCCTAATATGTGTTTCCAAGGAAAAAAACGTGGGTGGATTGAAGAACTCGCAAACGTCTTGAAGACATTTGAAGAAAATTAAAATTAAATTGAAGAATTATAGTTTGTTCATAAAAGTGGCATATATTTGACCACAGATCATCCTGTCCTATTCCTAGAATGTCTCACTGTTGTTACTGGTGTTCAATACATGCCTGCCCCTCACCATGGAAATTCATGGAAATATATTACTGTATAACAAAAGGGCGCTCAGTTGTCAAGGTGACGAATACAGCTGGTGTGCATTGACTGAGAGAGGTAAAGCTAGATAAGACCATCAAGGCAAAGATTTCCAAAGTGACTAATAAATCCTGGGTGCCCAAACGGAGACATCATATATAAATGTGCCCGATTTCCAAGGGAGGCTGAACTCCTAAACCAAGTGCAGAGCCTGTACTGGGCGAATTCACCCAACTGAGCTCCCAGCGCATTTCAGCAGCTCCAGAAGCTGAACCTGGGAAAGCTTGGGTTAACACTCATCATTCATGCTTCCTAATTGCTCACTGTGAAGGCCTCTGGCCACAGTCAGACTCAAGCCCAGAGTAAACACAACAGTTCAGCACCTCCAGCTATTTTGTTTCCCACTGCCACGTAAAGCAGAATGGGAAGCCCTGCTGGACTGGATAACCATAAAAACTCTGTTATTCACCATTGCTGGATAACCCTAATAATTCCCCTGTGCCCTCCCACAGAGCAGCCAAGCTGCATACTGAGATTGTGCAGGACTATGTATATGGCCAGGAGATGCCCATTGACCAGCTGCTACCAACAGGCTGCAGAGCAGTTCAGATCTGTAAAGTTTTCCTTAATTATGGCACTAATTTAGATATGTATCCAGTAATAGACTTTTCAGGAATTTAATTATCTTTGAAATTTCCTT